GTTCAGACCCTCAAGAACAAAACTTAATGTGCGTCATTTTAACACTTAAGGTGTGTTGTTATAACACTTAAGGTGCGGTGTTCTAATACTTAAGGTGTGTGTTTCTATCACTTAATGTGCGCTATTTTTAGCTCATTTTTTTCAGACACGCGTTTTTTTTTTTTAAATTTTATTTTCAATGAAGAAGAATTAAAAAACACACGGTGGCATTATTATAGTTTTGAGTAGGTAAGTTTAGATGTTCTTTTTCTTCGAGTGCATATTTTTATTTCTTCAAGTGCACATTTTCTTCTTTTTTTTTTTTTTTTTTTTTTTCGAGTGCATATTTTCTCTTCTTCGAGTGCATATGTTCTGTCTCAGTACTTAATTTTCCCCTTTGAGTGCAAATCTTTATAACTTTGAGTGCAAAAATTTAACCTTCAAGTGCACATTTCTATGCATTTAAGTACATATTTATGGGCCAATGTTTATTATATGTTTTGCATTTTTTTCAATAATATATAACTAAATTTCTAATTAAATTTGTGAGATTTACAAACGATTTGTGTGGGCAATTGCTTCAATAACACTTAAGTTGAATAACTTTTTTTTATTGCTAGCATAAATTGCTTCGATTGAACATATTTATGCATTCGAGTGCAGAATTATATTTTGGCCTTCAAGTGCACATTTTTGTGCATTCAAGTGCATGTTTTTGTGCTTTCAAGTGAATAGTTTTTGTTAATTCGAAATGTAATTTTTTGTAGTTCTGGATGAATTTAATGATTGAGATTTGTGCACGTTTTTCACTGTAGAATTTATTGTTATTAGCGTGGTGATTCATATGTTTATTATTAGCTATTCAAAGATTAATTTTTTTTTTAAAAAAAAAAGTAAAGAAAATATAAAAAGGAAAGCAAAAAAAATATACTCCGTAATATACTTAAATTTGTGCAAGTTGGGTTCAAGTAGGCTGAGAATTGAAGTCTTTGAAAGTTTGGAAGAATGACCATGGATCGAGTCTCACCAGCGATAGTGTGGGAGTAATTTCTTAAAGTGAGGGGGTTCCTTGTACGCAGTGAGTAAAGATCTAGCCTCTGTGGTTTATGTTCACTTGAGTTATCATGATTTACATCATCTCAAATATTCTGTAGGGTTGGGATTCAACCTTTTGGAAGAATTATTCCAATTTCATAATTACACAATTGACGTTTGGGAAATAAACAACAGGCAGACACAAAATTCCATAAATTCTTTTGTTGAGAACTACTTTCTATTTAAGAGAGTCACAAATGTATTATTTAACTACAAGTTATTGATGAAACAAATTGACGCAGAGTATGTACAAATCAATAGAATAATGGTAAAATAGTAATGGGAAAATATTATAGTAAAATTAGAGATGGTTATCTAGGTGAAGAAAATGGTCATTTATACAAGGAAAAACACACCAAACCCCTTAAATATCCGATTGGCCACTGGAACAGGTCAAGGCCCACGGGATGGGTCGTATGACCTAGTCAAAGTCCACCATTCCAGACCGGGCTCCAATACAGGAATGGCTAGTTGCTCGAGGCTAGCTTTGAGAGTGTTATGCTGTGCAATCGTGTGTACCATGCAAGGTGCATACAGAATTGGATTCATAATTTCTATACTATAGATTTATAATTCCTATAGTGTAGATTCATAATTTCTAATTAAACTGTAGATTCATAATTTTTATACTGCAGATTCATAATATCTATACTGTAAATTCAAAATATCTATACTGTAGATTCATAATTTCTGTACTGTAGATTCATAATTTCTAAACTGTATATGAACATATAGTTCTGTGATTTGTGAATACGGAGTTCAACAATTGGGAATATGAACATTGAAAATTATGAACATAAAGTTTTGTAATTGTGAATATAGAGTTCAATAATTATGAATCTATAGTATAAAAATTATGAATCCAATTACAACATAATTTGCCCTAGCTTTGGAGGTCGGCCCCAGGTCACCTTCTTGGGTTTGGGTCATCTCATGGGGCCCGGGTTGTATTTTTGGACTGTTTTCACTATCTCCATATGTTATAGTGCACAAAAAGATATAAATTTATGATCCTTTAAAAAAAAAAAATAAAAATAAAAATCCTCTTACAAAAATATGTGATAAATACGAATTAATTTTTCCTCTATTTTTTTTTGATAAAATTCAAATCCAAATTTATTATGTTAAAAAGAGTATATTCCTTCCAAATTACACTTTATACCTCTAGCTGTATTCCTATTAGTCTACTAAAATTTGCTTCACGCAAAGGGTGTATATATGAAATTAAAATTCCTAAAGTCTAATTTGTTTTTATTATGGATTCCATAAAAAATTAGTAATTAAACCATAAACGTCAATGCATACGACAATTTGATTTAGGCCGGTCAAGTGTGTAAATTTGAAAATTCCTAAAAGTCTAATATGTTTTTATTATGGATTCCAGAAAAAATAAATAAAAAATCACTAGGGGTTAATTGATCGTATGTATCTAGACTAAATTAAAAGCCTGATTTGTTTTTATTAGAAACAGTGACTCCCGAACAAGGCTAGCACGTTGATGCTTTAATGATTCGAATGTCGGTTGACATATGTGAGTATGCGAGATACTCAAGAAAGAATCACATATATAAGAGAGAAGTGAGGGTCGCTTCAAAGGAAAATTGATGGGCACAATTCTTTAGAAACTCTCGCAGAACCCAGGAAGGTGACCCACGACCAAAACGGGCACACTCATGAGAACAGAGCATGGTTGGGAGGTTCCTGCGTGAGATATGTCATCGTCTACACAAAGGGCAGTCGGTTCAAAGACATCGCGTTGTACCGTACAGCCAGTAGAGTAAACATGTCTTCACAAGGGAAGGTTCAAAGGGTATAGTGATCCCTACCTATCCTATGCAGGAATCGACCGTTGAACACAGTTGTTTCCGATTTCAAAATACCCTGAAAATCAATTTTTCATTCATGTGGGGGATTGTTGGAAAAATAACATTAAAATGACATTTTAAGTGGATATTTTGTGGTACAATTATCTGTGGGGTTCACTTCCGATTTGGGTCGGGTCAAAGTGGATTCGGGTTCTTCGTAGTGAGATGAAGAGATTGATATATTGTACGCTCAAAACGGATAATGGATGAATGAGATATTGATTCTCAAAGTAGACCCATTGAGTTAGAAAAATGAAGGGAAAAGTTAGCTTTTGTCCCACATTGGTTTGGGAAGAGGATTTGCGCCACTATTTATACAAGAGTCTTTTAAAAGCTTATTGAATGTATAGCATAGAGGTTCTCTCTCAGAATGAGAGTTTGAAAAGGCTTGATCCGTGTGCGCCGATACTTGCGACGACAACGAATGTTGTATGAGTTTCAATTCTACAGTTACGGAATTAATTTCAATTTTATTTTTGAATTTACGACAGTCCATGAAATGACTTGTTGTTTCAGATGTTACAAAGCCAAGTTTTAATGGCATTGTTTAATGCTATTTAGTACACCACTCCCTATATAAGAAGGGAGTAGGACAACAGATTTTTTACAAAAGAGAGAACAAGAAGAAAGCATACACACTTGCACGGTTTTAACTCCAAAATACTCTGCTCCTACTCCTTTCTTTGCCTAACTGTGTTCAAGGTTTTGCTCTAGCTAGTTCGCCGGGCTCGTTCGTTTGGGTGCTCAAAAGTCGAACCGTAGCACGTTTTATCCTGGGAAACCTGGGCCATAACGCTCCTAGCACTTTTGGGAGGTGGCAAATAAGGTTTTAAGGAAAGAGTGATCTCTTGGCTCGCGCTAAAAATCCTATACCCAAACACGAGCCAATCTCCTTCTTCTTTCGGTTTGGATTATGCTTCTAAGCAAAAATCATCTCTCTATTTGTTTTGTCGTTGGATTGGATTTATAATCTGAGGATTATCAGTTCCAATTTTGGTTGATATATATTGGTATATCTTTTTCGTAGATATATATGTATATATAACATTTGGGTCCGTTATATATATATATATATATATATATATATATATATATATATATATATATATATATATATATATTAGTGTGTATATATATATTTCGGATATATATCGAATAGTATTTTATATATTTTTGTGTGTATATATAAATACTATTTTAAGATATTAAATTGACTTTTGGTTCATTATTTCAAAAAATTCTCCAACGTTTAAATTAAAGTATAAATCTCCTATGTCCCATTCTCACTTAATCTTGTCCTTGCACACGCGTCGGTTTATACAAACAATAGACGTATATTGTTCAGTGTAAAATTATATTTCTATAGCAGTAATTGAATTTTTTTCAACTTATATATATCTAATGTATTCATAAATCCCTATTTCTTTGGGGTATTATAACTTGGTAGATATCTGAAATTTGTCATTGAAGTGTATTTAGGGTTTATTATGGTTATTAATATAGAGTAATATCGTAAGATTAATTATCATTTTGAGAAAAAAAATTTACCTTAAAATTTCCAGACATTTAACAGCTATTTAATTCCCAGTCCATGTATATTAATATTTTTGTTCATTTCAGACTTTTCTTTGCTCAAATTAAATTTTATATAGAGAATGAAATCATACCCTACCACCACTTATGGGCTGCAGAGATTAATTGGATCAATGAATTAAGAATAAGAAAACAGAGTAGATGGGAGAAATGGACTTGGTCCAGTCATTCCACATATCATTTTGTGTTTACTTCATTATTATTATTATTATTATTATTATTATTATTATTATTATTATTATTATTATTATTATTATTATTATTATTATTATTATTATTATTATTATTATTATTATTATTATTATTATTATTTTTAGACTATTGATAATTTGCATTCAAAAAAGACTATTGATAATTTTCCATATAGTATACTTGACCCGGGTAACAAGTTTTGGAATTGCTAGGCTTAAGTTTGCCTATAAAATAAGCAACAAACATGCAATGGTGCATTCACCACAGCTTTACTTGCCCAATATTTAGTTATATTTATATTTGTCTTTGTTTCCCTTTCCCTCATGGCTCTGCTCCATCCATTCTCTTGCAAATCCTCCATGGCTCCCATTCTCCTGCTCATTGTGTTGTTTCACATTGCAGGTCTTCTTTCTTTCTATCTTATAGTATAATAAGAAATTAAAATAATATTGCGCAAAAGCTTACAATATTTTATGTTACAATTATTCGTATTTATTAATTACTTGCATATTACTTACTGATTTAATTTTACATTAAGTAATTTATTGGCGGTCATGTTTGGTAACATAATTAGCTTATCAGTCAATTTTGATTTATTTGACCACTATTGATTGTTTGACATGATTAAACAATTAATATGAATGTTTGATTACTTAGCTTTTTATAACTTATTGCTCCAAAATGTTAAAATTCAAAAAGCTACTCAAAACAAACTTTTTCGATAAGTTTTTTTAGAAAGTCATTTTTACATGTAATCAGTTATCAGCTAACAGCTAATTTACCAAATACTTTTCTACAATCAACTAATGCTATCAACTAGTCAAACTTACTAACCTAATAAGCTAACAACTATTTACCATATACACATTATCAAAATTTTATTTTGGTGCATGGAAACTTCATTTAGACTCTGTTTGGAAAACCTAGATGAAAAGTTATAAGCTAGGAGCTGAAAGCTGAAAAGCTATAAGCTAGGAGTTGAAAACTGAAGATCTGTTAAGCTAGTTGTTATGATTATTGAAAGTGTTTGGTAAAATTAGCTTTTTGATAAGCTAATAAATGTAAAAAGACTAAAAAGGTTTGTTTACATATTAAAATTTAACATTTTGTCTTAAAAAAATTAACATTTTGAAATAAAACTATTAGCATAATCATGATCTAGCATCTAATAATGAAGGTATTGTTGCGAATCTCATTCATCTAATAGTAATAATAATAATATTTGCGGTGAAAATTGCGGATAGAGGAGAAGAGAAAAGGGTTTTAATTGGAAAGGGTAAATTATGTTATTACTTTAAAATAATAAGGATAAAGAGGAAAAAAAAAAAGTTAGGAAGCTAGTAGCTTATTTTGAAAGGTAGTGTTCCAAAACAAGCTCTTATTTTAAGCTAGGAGCTTATTTTGGGAACATTACCAAACAGAGTTTATAGCTTATTAGTAGCTTAAAATAAGAGATTGTTTTAAAAAAAAAAACTCTTAAATAAGCTTTGCCAAACCGAGTCTTAGTTATGGGATTAAGATGCATATGAAATTAATGCATGCATGCTAGTTGGATTGATTATTAATATGATATACCGATATTATGCAATATCAATCGATCTTTTTATATTACTTTATAAGTTTCAAATGGAATATAATTTTGTTTAGATGCTTTTGCTTTCATATGGAACTTGTCATATTCGAAATAAAATTATCTTTCATTAATTTAACATCATTGCAATTATATTATTTGAGTATTTGACATCACGTCTACTTCACGCAATTTTTGGGTGATGACTACTTTTTTTTAATAATCTTAAAAATCTCTATAAATCTCACTCTTGTATATGAGAAGTAATTTGAATTCACTCTTGGTCGATCCCATCATAGAAGATTTTGGTTGACCAGCTCAACCAAGAAAGTGGTGACAAGAACCAAACATGTTTATAATATAAGAATCATACTCCATTCACTCGCACACCCCTTTTGAGGCATAAATCTGTGTGTGTGTGTTGGGGGAGGTTTTAATCAATTGTGGGTCTTATTCTATATAAATTTATCTTATATAAAATTGGTTGCCCTTTGATTTCAATTCAATGCAGGGGTACAATCCATTGGAGTGTGTTTCGGGAGATTAGGCAACCATTTACCATCCGTAACCGATACCATAAACCTCTACAAGCGGAATGGCATCCGAGGGCTGCGACTCTACGAACCCGACACCAACGTCTTCGAAGCTCTCCGAGGAAGCAACATCGATGTCATCCTCGACGTCCCCAACGACAAGCTCCAAGACCTAACTGACCCGGCAAGAGCCCACGATTGGGTCTACGCTAACATCGTACCCTATCCCGACGTCAACTTCAAATACGTCGCCGTCGGGAACGAGGTCTTCGCCGGAAACCACGGTTCGGCTCAATTCCAAAACTACGTTCTCCCCGCCTTGAGAAACGTCCACAACGCCTTATCGGCCGCGGGTTATCAGGGCCGAATCAAGGCCTCCACCGCCACCTACTCCGCCGTGTTAGCCAACACCTACCCACCCAACAACGGCGTCTTCAACGATAACGCCAAGGGCCTAATGAACCCCATTGTCGGATTCCTCGCACAGAACAACTTGCCCTTGCTAGCCAACATATATCCTTATTTCGCCCGAAAAGGCGACCCGGACAAAGTCACACTGTCGTACGCGTTGTTCTCCGACAGCCAACCGAACCCTGTCGGGTACCGCAACCTCTTTGACGCGATGCTGGACTCCATGTACGCCGCCGTTGAGAAGGCCGGGGGTTCCAATGTGCCCATCGTTGTCTCCGAGAGCGGCTGGCCGTCGGCCAGCGGCTTCGACGCCACCGTGGATAACGCCGCCACGTATTATCGGAATCTAATTCAGCACGTCCAGGGAAACAGTGGGACTCCCAAGAGGCCTGGAAGCCCAATTGAGACTTACCTCTTCGCCATGTTTGATGAAGATCAGAAACCTGGTGATGAAACCGAGAAGCATTTTGGACTGTTTAGCCCTGACCAGAACCCAAAGTATCAGCTTAGCTTCAACTGATTTCAAGTAATACTATAGTGAATAAATTGAAATATATATAGTGGAGTAATTAAAGCTAAAGTTTCACTTTTATTTCCCTGAATAGGAGAATGGGCAATGTATTTCTAGATTCACCATGTTCATTGTAAGTTGTAACCTGTTTGAACAATAAAATTCCGTTTCTATATGTATTAATTGTGATGATCTTATAAAATAATTTTCAGTTCTTTCTGGGTTCACATAATTGTTGTTGTTTATATCCAAGAATAAAATTCCAAACTCAAATTGTTGTAATTTTTCTTGTTTACAGATCAGATAAATATATAGCTAACTTAATCTTATCTTATCTTACTATATATAATAGCAAAATGTTTTTTGCCAATCAATTTCCCGCCTAAATGAAATTGCATCATTTTAAGGTATTAAATACCAATTAAATGAAATTGCATCATTTTAAGGTATATAATGCAGCATACTTATCTATTTTCAATACATGTTAATCTACAATTATTGTTATTTAATGATGAAGCAGGTAATACATTCCAATATTTTTAAGTTAACATTTTATTATATAAATTAATTTATTGTTTACTGAAAAAAAATTAGAGTATCCGATTTTAAAAAATAAGATTAACCTGTTTTTTTTTTTTTATTCTTACAATTTTATTGATAGACAACAATTTAATTGTTCATTCTAATATAGTTTTGAGAGGGAATTTTTTTTTTAAAAAAAGTTACTAAATCAGTTACTAAATTGAAAAAAAGTTTTTTAAAATTTAAATCTTGCATGAACAATAATATTGGAGAGACGAATAAGTTTAAACAAATAATTATTGAACTGATATTAAGTAATTAGAAAATATGATGTATTTCTTAATTTCGTTTTAAACAATAAGTTTTACCTGAAGATGATACTGTATTTATTAGTTTGTTTTAGATCTGCTCCGGTCACCCGATTTTTCATATCGGCATTTGGGGAAGAAAGCAATTCCACAACGGCCAAAAGCTACGGTCAGATTATCTGAAAAGTTTTTTAGCAGTGGATTACTTGGATGTGCGATGATTTAAAATCGAGTGTGTCAAGATGCCGGAAACAGAGAAGGTTCGCGTAAGTCAGTAAACATTTTAGAGAAAATGACGAACGCAACAGAGTAGACGGAAGCGCAATCGTCAAAAAATATGGATTAGGGTTTGGTAATCAGGTTTTATAATTGGGTTAATGGGCTCGGGTATTGGGCTGAAATGCAACGTAACTGGATTATATGGATAGATAATTAAATGTTTATTGGGCTTAGCATTGCAGGTTTTATTTTTTCTTTCATGTCATGAAATATTTCATATTTAGTTTAGATTTATATATGTTGTACGTATATAATTATTATTATTAAGCAATGTTTAAGAAAAGATTTTCGTAGTTAGTTTCAATGTATGATGATGATATTGTATTTTTTATTTATATATTGTCAAGTATATGTACTATAGGCTTTAATTGCAAATCATATTAATAAATGTTTTTATATATAAGAAAATTTAATTTCATAATTTTTTATTGTATATTGTTTGATTTCCTAATTTTAAAATTTTTTTTTTATAAAAATGTGTGTGTGTGTGTGTGTGTATATATATATATATATATATATATATATATATATATATATATATATATATATATAATTATTTTAATGTACACTTTTTAAATCTCATGTGGTATGTTATAACACAATTCTTTATAATATATGCTAACAGTATGTGATGTTCCATATAACAACCAATTTAGTATTGTTAAAGAAAAATACATTTCAGAATAAGTTTTAATTTCATGATTAATATTTTATTTTATTGTTTTTAAAATATTATTAATAATAAAGTTACTTAAATTTTATGTTGTGCATCGCACGGGGCAAAAACTAGTTATATTAATATCAGGATGTAGTTTTAGTAGCCATGGGAGTGTACTTGGTGCCTTTTAGTACGTAATGGGCACAACTTGAAATAATACAAGGGAGAATTGAAGGGGTGGTAGTCAACAGTCAGTTAGACTAAGTGATCGGTGTTATATTGTTGATCCCAAGTTTGATAAAAAGTTGAAAGGAGAGTTGAATAGATTTTTTCCAGAAATTTTAACTTAAAAACGATTTACTAATAATCAAAGCATATTATTACCAGCTTGAAAGCACAGTGATAGGTAGCGGAGGACTAAATTAAAGTTTGTAGCACGGGTTTGAATAAAAACAACTTAGACTACTAAAGATGTGTTGTGTGTGTGCAAACTTTTCAATCAGCTGGAAAGAAAAATAAAGTGCAGGGAATAATTAAAGAGAGTAGAAAGAGATTTTTATAGTGGTTCAGCAATTGCTTACGTACTCCACTCTTGTCCTTAACCTTTAAA